TAAGGAATATGCCTTGATTTTTAAAATGTTTCTGTTCTTTTTGTAAAGTAAGCTCTATGCTCAACGTGGGGTTTGAACTCACAACTCTGAGATCCAGAGTTGCGTGTCCTACTGACTAAGCAACCAGGGGCCCCTTGAAAAGGTTTCTAAAGGCACTAGTGTCTCACTCTGAAAGAGTTTTGAGCCCTCTGAATATTTAAATGTGGCTCCTTTTTTGTTGTAAAACACTTTCCGGTATTACTTAACTATACTTGATAGAGGCAAATCTTACAGCAAATGAGGTGTTTACCTAGCACAACAGCCCTCTAATAGTAGTTGATGTGCAAGTCATTTTGTTAAAGACATTTTATAAATAGCTTTATGATGAAGAAAAGAAACTAAAAATATGCTATTTCCTAATTTTTCCCAATAGTTTCATATCAGCCTCTTTTCACTTGAAGTTATATTTTGCAATATAAGGAAAACAATAAAATTCCACTTATCCAGTAGACATTAAGAACTAGTAACCATTTAGCATACAGTTAAAACTCCTAATCCTGAAAGAACTTTAAGAACAAGGAAAGGGAAATAGGTAACAATTCGGAAAATCTGTGGCTTTCCCTAGTAATCATTCTACTATTTTTCTCTGCTTTTCTCTATGTTGTTCATATTAAAGCAAAACAAGACATGAAAGTAAAAGAAAGAAACCTTTAAAAAGAAACTGATAGGAATATGTAAATTATAAAACCGTAAATAAAGCTGCTAAAGCACACCAGATTAATAGACTAGAGAAAATCAACAAGATAAAAATACACATTGATTCAAAAATTGTTTTTAAAATTCTACACTTACTTATTTTTTAAAGTAGATTTTTTTTTTAACGTTTATTTATTTTTGAGACAGAGAGAGACAGAGCATGAACAGGGGAGGGGCAGAGAGAGAGGGAGACACAGAATCTGAAACAGGCTCCAGGCTCTGAGCTGTCAGCACAGAGCCCGACGCGGGGCTCGAACTCACGGACCGTGAGATCATGACCTGAGCCGAAGTCGGACGCTTAACCGACCAAGCCACCCAGGCGCCCCTACACTTACTTATTTTTAAGAAGTATAGAGATTCAGCACTAAAAGAACATCTAAGTAACACATAGATTGGAAGGCAAAAAAAAAATTGCCATGATTTTCAGTGTATATGATTTTCCACATCAGGTCTCCATAAGGATAGATTTGAGATCTCCTGGGATGTCTGGCTGGCGGGCTCAGTCAGTTAAGCCTCTGACTCTTGGTTTCAGCTCAGGTCATGATCTCACGGCTTTGTGGACTCAAGCCCCGTAACTGGCTCTGTGCTGGTAGTACAGAGCCTTCTTGGGATTCTCTTTTTCCCTCTCTTTCTTCCCCTCCCCCACTTGCACTGACTCTGCCTCTCTCAAAATAAATAAACAAACTTTAAGAAGAAAAGAAATCTCCTACAACTAATAAGAGGGGTCAAGAATAATGTTACCAACATATAAAAATCAGTACTCCTGTGCCCCAAAGTAACTGAAGTATATAAATTTAAAATGCCCCCATTCATAATAGTATCAAAAGTCTTAAGTTACTTAGCAAAATAATAAAAAAAAAACATATGCAAAGTCAGTATGATGAAAGTAATAAAATATTTTGAGATATTATATAAAAGTCATGAATATATGGAGATATAATCCATATATTATGGATTATATCCTTATGATTCAGAAAGCCAATATCAAGATATCACTTCTCTCCAAACAAACATACATTCAAGGCTATCCCAGTGAAACTGTCACCAAGAAGTTTATGGACTATTACAAGTTGACTCTAAAATACACGGGGAAGGGTAAAGGACGAAGAACTACCCAAGATAAATTTGAAAGTGAGCTAATAGAGACTTGTTCACTCATATGCCATCTGGTTACTAAACTACAGTTAAAGATGTGGTCTTGTAAAATAGAAATATGTATCAATGGAAAGGATTATCGTGTACATAAGTAAACACTCTCCTATGGGAACTTGGTATGGAGCAGAAATGGCAATGAAAACAGTGAAAAAGATAGGGATCGGTACCACAATCTGATTGTACAAGTTGACTATAAGGGAAAAGTTCAAACTGGAAGCTTGTTTCCAATTATAAACCAAAAGACACTTGAGACCAAATAAGAAACACACACATGCAGTTGTCTTTTGGGAGAAAACATGATGAGATAACTTTATCATGTCAGAGTAGAATATGATTCCTTAAGTAGAACATTGAACATGAAAGGTACAAAATCTGAGATTGCAGATGAATATGTTTGACTACATTAAAAAATAAAACTGCTGGGGCGCCTGGGTGGCGCAGTCGGTTGAGCGTCCGACTTCAGCCAGGTCATGATCTCGCGGTCCGTGGGTTCGGGCCCCGCGTCGGGCTCTGGGCTGATGGCTCGGAGCCTGGAGCCTGTTTCCGATTCTCTGTCTCCCTCTCTCTCTGCCCCTCCCCCGTTCATGCTCTGTCTCTCTCTGTCCCAAAAATAAATAAACGTTGAAAAAAAAAATTAAAAAAAAAAAATAAAAAAATAAAACTGCTGTTTCTGCTTAAATTTTCAATGATAAGAGAGTATAGTGGATAAATTACAAAACATTCATTTGAACAGGGTACCATATATCAGTTAAAATGAATATTAGTGGATTTATACCTACACCATCAACAATCTATGAAACATGCTATTGAATAAAACGTTTTATTTATTTATTTAAAAAAAATTTTTTTTTCAACGTTTATTTATTTTTGGGACAGAGAGAGACAGAGCATGAACGGGGGAGGGGCAGAGAGAGAGGGAGACACAGAATCGGAAACAGGCTCCAGGCTCCGAGCCATCAGCCCAGAGCCCGACGCGGGGCTCGAACTCACGGACCGCGAGATCGTGACCTGGCTGAAGTCGGACGCTTAACCGACTGCGCCACCCAGGCGCCCCGAATAAAACATTTTAGAATGATCCGAACATTTTGATGCTGTTTATGTTATTTCTGATATAAACCTTCAATGTCCTTAGGCAAAGATTCACGTCCATTTTTGGTTGGCTTCTGGGAATGGGAGGAGTAGGTTGAGGGAGCAGGTGAAGATCGACAATGGGAAACAATTATCTGACATGTTTTACTTTTAAAAAAAGGAAGAATAATACATAAATTGGAAAGAAAAGTGACAGTACGTTGACAAGACTTCATGGGTGTGGGTGCATGGGGATTAGTTACGTTACTCTATGTAAGTTTTTTTCATTCGTAGAATATTTAGTAATATGACATGAAAAAATTATCCTAGGCATAAAGAATGGAGTATACCAAAATAATGGCATCAAAATAATCCTGTTGCCAGAACCTCAAAATAATATAAAAAGGTTAAATAGATAACACATGTAACACATGGGCATCTATGCAAAAACGTCTTCAAGTGTTAGCAAATACCATACAAATGTATATTAAAGGATGATTACAGTTCAGTTAAAAAGAGGTTTCTTCCAGAAATACAAGTTTACTTCAATATTAGGAAATTATAAATATGACACACCGTGTTGAGGTTGTAAAATGAAAAGGAAAAAAAAACCTTCCTTGTTTTTAAAAGATCGTAAACCCTCCTCCTTTCCTGATTTAAAAAATAACAAAAAATAAACCCTTGTTGAAATTGATGTAAGTATTCTTATTTCAAAAATATTTTCCTTTTTCAAATGTTTTCATGGAGGATTCCTGAAATATTTTTAAAATATTAAGAATAATAAGATGAATGCCTGTATGTCAACTTTCTAGTTTAAAAATGATTTATTGTATGTGTATTCTTAACGTGAAATGATTTATGTAGCTCAGACTAAAGGTCGGCATCATGCTTGATGATAGAAAAATAGAAGCATTTTCATTAATTTCAGGAGTGAGACCATGATGTCCCTTTCAACAGTTTTATTTAAAATTGTTTAGTTAGTAATAATAAAAGAAAGTACACATATTAGAAGGTTATAGATATTAGACAAGAGGAAACAGAAGCAGGTCATTTGTAGATTGTGTGACTATATTCTTATAACTCCCACCCCCCCAAAAAAATGAAATGAAAAGCTATTTGAAATAGTATGAAAGTTGAGTCATGTTACTAATTTAAAAATTGGTATGTACAAATTATTAGCTCTTAAAGCAAATAATTCTCTTCTTGAAACATATAATAGAATACATGATTAAATTCAGAATAGCAACCAAAATATAAGAAGGAAATCTATATTATCTGCAAAAATAAAACTCTAGCATGGTAGAAAATGTTTTCAGTAATTAGTGAAACAATACTGCTTTGGGAGTGGAAGATTTAATATTTAAAATGCAATAATTTGCCTCTTCTAAGTTAATATGTTACGAGAGTGACTTTTTCTATGAAATGGTCACAAACTCAGAGGCCGATAGAAACTGGGCAGGTATAGCACAGTTCTAGCCCATCATTTCCTTGTGACCAGCCAGCCTCCAGATTAGAAAATTTCAAGATTTTTAAAGAGACTTCGGCTATCTGAAGTTTTCATCTGGCATATTTGGATTTTTAAACATTGGCAGCCAATTTGAAAAGTCATCACACTCTATAGTTCAAGTAAACCTTACTGTTGGCAAAATTTGGTCTGTGGCCGGACTCTGTGAGACCTTGGGTTTTTCCATACTGCTTTACTAAATTCTGGTAAATCTAGGAGCAAAACACTGACTGTGGTTGACAGGGTCACGGGATTTCCAGGTATGGGGCTACTGTATTGTCCATTTCGGAGTGCGACTGGCCAACTTATCTCTATACCTTCCTCATTTTACTTTCGGTTCTAAAACTGTGTTAATTGCGTGCGTGCATGTGTGTGTGTGCGTGTGTGCGCACGCGTGTGTCCCTGTCTGTAACTGTTCTTCAAAGCTACCGTGGACAGAGTGTTCTGGATTTAATTTCCTTAAGTCAATGAGAAGGATTTTAAAATGACTCCCATCCTGATTTTTCAAGCAGTGATTTTTGTCTTGTCCTCCAATCAGGTATTTTTGGTCGCCGTCTGGAATTTTGAACTGTACATGATCCCCCTGGCCTTATTACTCCTCTTCATCTACAATTTCATCATTCTCACAAAAGGGAAGACGGGCAGCATCCAGGACAGCCAGGTGAGCAGAGATTCCAGTAACTGTGACATTTGTCTAGAGAAAGACGTGTGAACGACAGCAAACCACCACCACCAAATCATGGCCCAAGTGCTCTTGGTTTGAGAGACGAGGAGAAACTTGGCACACACGTTCATGTTCTAGTGGAGGACTTTTATTGGGTGTAACCTGGAGCGTTTCTTCTAGGCTATGTTCCTGAGTCTTGACCTACCTTCTTAGCATGAGGAGGGTCCCCGGGTGCTTGGTCATCATTACCATGCCGGCCGCGGATTTCAACGTGTGCCCATCTGGTTCATTGCAAGGTTACTGTGAATTACCTTCCCATCCACTGAAAAGACGCCTTTGATGTCTCCTTGAGCTCCTTCAAGACACAGAAGGCATTTGGGAGGCTAACTCAGGCCTTTCCACCCTAACACCCTTTGCAGTTTTTGTCTCTGGCTGAAGCCTTCAGAGCTTTGCCAACTGCCGGGGAAATCAGAGGGCAAGTGGCCGTGGGCACCTCTATTTTGCGGTGTCCAGGTCTTATAAATCTCAAGCTTCCCATGGTGTTGAAGGAAGCACCCGCAAGGCTTCTTCTCAAAGACCTGCCCCAGCGTCTGCTCGTCATACTTATTCTCTGACTCGCCTTCCCTTATTCCACGTATCCCAGCCCAAAGAATCTTTTCCTCCTCTGGGTTGGCAGGAACTTGTATTTATAGACTTGCTTTCTGGTATTATCTTGGCATCCCAGATTCAAGAACCAAATTTTTAAAACAAATCTAAGAGGGACGCCTGGGTAGCTCATTCAGCTAAGCGTCCGACTTCAGCTCAGGTCATGATCTCACGGTCCCTGAGTTCGAGCCCCGCGTCAGGCTCTCTGCTGACAGCTCAGAACCACGACCTCGCTTCAGATTCCGTGTCCCCCTCTCTCTCTGCCCCATCCCCTGCTTTCACTCTGCCTCCCTCTTTCTCTCTCTCAAAAATAAACATTAGAAAAATAAACAGAAATCTAAGATTCTGAGACATGTTAATAAAATATCTTCACATTGGGTTTTTCCAGACTCAAAAGCTGACCAACTTCACCCACTTTTCCTCACAATGCTATTATTTTTTTTAAATCTCTGAAATAGTGGATATTAAAAGGATGTTTTGCTGTCATTTGGGATAGAAGGGAAGTAGAGAACAGAGTGTTTAGGCAGGGAGCAGAAACATCAAGCAAATCCAGAATTCTATTCTGTTTGATATTTGATTGTTTAATGCAATAGCCATGGGCATATATCAATAATGAGGGGCCTAAAGATGCTAGAAAAAACTAATAAGTAAATAGCTTTAAAGTACAGGATTGCTTAAGGACTAAGCTTCACAGAGGTGCAGATGAAGGGAATTTTCAGAGAAACATCTTTAGGAAAAAGTGCTGTCAACTAACATTTTTACAATTTCTTTTTTATTTAATTAAATTAAATTAAATAATTAATTTTTTAAGGTTTATTCATTTTTTATACTTCCAGAAGTGTTCTTTTTTTTAAATTTACATCCAAGTTAGTTAGCATATAACACTTTTACAATTTCTGATCATGTTTACTTTTCAGCTACATCTATGGGATGTGTGTTTATAGCGTGTGTGTGTGTGTGTGTGTGTGTGTGTGTGCATGCAGAAATGTGTATGTATTCGTAGGCAGGTGTCTATGCACGTACATATGGGTACATAAGTATACGTAAGTGCATGTGCATATAAATGTGTGTGTATATAAAATCTTTTTAATTTACAGAACATTTTCAAATTTGTTACCTATTTTTTTAAGTTTATTTTGAGAGAGAGAGAGAGTACGTGTGTGTGTGCGTGTGTGTGTGTGTGTGTGTGTGTGTGAGCGGGGAAGGGGAAGGGGAAGGCAAGAGAAGGGAAGAGAGAATCCCAAGCATGTTCCGTGCTGTCAGCACAGAGCCCGACATGGGGCGCGACCTCATGAACCGTGGGATCATAACCTGAGCTGAAATCAAGAGCTGGACGCTTAACCGACCGCACCACCCAGGCACTCCAAATTTGTTGCCTATTTAAATCTTGATAACATAACCACGGAGGAGGCAAGGATTACTATTTTTACTTTATACTTGATGGAACTAAACCCCAGAGTGGCAAAGTGATTTGCTCAAGGTCACACGGCAGAAAGTGCTGGAACAGTGTCTTAAGCTGAAGACTTTGTCCCAGGCTGAAGACTTCTAACTCCTAATCACAATGTTTTTCCTCCCACAATGTGTTTTTATTGCATGTGTTTTTACCCATTTGCTTTCACGAAATGTGTACCACCGACGGTGAACAGGTGAGTTCTCCAGCCATCAGCAGACTGTCACACATTGCGAGCTGCCGCTCAGGGGAATTCTGGGGGTAATACAGTACCAGTCCTGGAGAAATTGCCTGGTAACTGCTCAGCGGTTTTATGGCGGCTAGCAGAGGACTCTGGATACTTCAGAGTTACTCTTTTTTTTTTTTAAGAACGTGAGAGTGACAATTCTGTTTCCTACTGGAACGGTGGCGTCTAAACAGCACGCCTGACCTTTGCAAGGTGGTTGAGCAGAAAGGTAAGCGTTCAAGCTCAAAAGCCACCCTGGTTTTCTACTCCCCAGCGTTTTGTCTGAGCTGCCGAACCCGCTGGACTGGGTACCAACATGTGTTGGCTTTTAAATATTGCAGTGTTGAGGGGCGCCTGGGTGGCGCAGTCGGTTAAGCATCCGACTTCAGCCAGGTCACGATCTCGCGGTCCGTGAGTTCGAGCCCCGCGTCGGGCTCTGGGCTGATGGCTCGGAGCCTGGAGCCTGTTTCCGATTCTGTGTCTCCCTCTCTCTCTGCCCCTCGCCCATTCATGCTCTGTCTCTCTCTGTCCCAAAAATAAATAAACGTTGGAAAAAAAAATTAAAAAAAAAAATAAATAAATATTGCAGTGTTGGGATTACAACTTATCTACTAAATAGCCAAGATTTTTTTTTTTTTAGGTTTATTTATTTTGAGAGAGAGAGAACGAGCACGCGAGAGAGAGGAAGGAGAGGGAATCCCAGGGACGCTCCACACCATCAGTGCAGAGGCCCACGTGAGGCTCAAACTCCAGAACCGTGAGATCATGACCTGAGCCGAAATCAAGAGTTGGACTCTTGACCAACTGAAGCCACCCAGGCGCCCCAAGCCGAGATGGCTAGACCAATCTGAACAAGCCTGTTCCCGGCACCTGGTGCTTTGGCCCTCAAACAAAAGCCAGGTGCCTGTTAGTCCCAGTCAGAGCCTAAGTATCCTCCCCTCACCTGCCCTCAGCCCCCCTCCCCAGATCACAAGGAAAACAATAATAATGCCCAGAAACCTGTAACTTATTCTTGAGATTGATTATATTCAGACTAATGCATTTCCTACTGTCTAATGTTTCAGTAATGGCCCCAAAGGAAAAGAACAGTCATTATAACAATGAGCCTAGCACAAACCGAGTACGGTGCTCTCCGCCTTAACGTAGCAGTTGGCTCATTCGTCAGAATAAGAACCAACTGTTTACAGAAAGTACAGCTTGGCAACGCAGTTTGAAAGCTGGGTGCCTTCAAAGGGCACTCGCCTAATAGCTTTATTTATAGTTAAGTTTTACGTAGATTATGCATCCTGTTTTATAGTCTTGCCGCAGTGTCCCTGAACTTTCAAACCACTATTTTTTCCAAGAGGTTATAACGTATTCAAAAAAAAAAAAAAAAAAAACCACTAGCGCGTCAATTATGTAGAAAACCTTACAAAGTGTGTACGGGTTTAATTTGCATTTGATCGTTTCAGCGGATGTCATATTAACAAATTGTGGTTTTTTTCCTTTCAGGAGAGCACAGACGTAGACGAAGAGGAGTATGACGATGACAAGGTACGTGTGCTCGGGAAAGCTCGCGAAAGGAAACGTTCGTGTCGTCCGCAGATGGCATTTTACCTGGTTGAGTGAAACCCTGTTTGAAAAATTTATTTATTTGTTTGTTTGTTTGTTCGTTTGTTTGTTGGCATTATGGAGTGTCCGGGATAGGAATGTTTTTGTAATTTATAAAGGATATCGGTTTTTAAAGATCTTAGTAAGGGAGGATATAAAAAGGGTAACATATGAGGGAAAACGGAGATAGTATACAAAGCGTACCTATAGGAGGCTTGTCATTTGATGCGAGCGAAGGGGAGCCTTCCCCTGGTGTATAAAAGGTACATGAAAGGTAGTCTAGAAAATCCAAAGTAAATCAAGTGAAACTGCTGTTCCTTTAGCCTCCTGTCTGTGCTCCGTGGGGTGGTCACCCACTTGGGAGCCTGTCACTTTTCCAGCTATTGCTGGCAGTGTTTTCAGCTGTATGTCGGTGTACATCTGTCCTTTTCCTTCTCCTGGGAGAATCTCTCAAATCGGCTGCTTTTGTTGTCATTACGCTTTCAGACAAACCTTCTGGAATATAATGAAAAAAAAAAAAAAAAGTGAAATGCCAAATGAGATGCGACCGGCTTAATCGACTTCCAGCCCCCTAGAACCTGTGGGTGTAGGGGGTTTGCGAGGGGAGCGCCTGGGAGGCTTGCGGGAGGGGGGAAGGGGGCAAACGGGGGAATCTTAAGAGTTAAGTATCCAGTATAAAATGCCCAGAAGATAGCAGCGAATTAAACCCTGGCTCCGTGACACAAGCAGCCTTAAAATTAATTGGGCAAGCCAGATGGTTTTGCCCATTTGAAACAACTTGGGTGGATTACAAAGCAAATCTTGTTTGTTGTGCTAAAATGATCGCTAATAGCAAAATGATAAAATACAGTAGAATGTGTTTTAAACGGAAGTGACTCTTTCCAGAACAGGGTCACGCAGACGCAACTTTCTTCTCGACGGATTGATGTGAGTTGCTTCCGACTGATGTGACTCCTTGAGCGCGAAAAAGTTGTAGCCAGGCTAACATGCGTGCTGGTGGGATGTTTCGTCAAAATAAACACAAGCACTAATGAAATTGTTTTAAACCTTTACTAAGCAGAATTCTAAAATTTGATTTACCAAGGCTGGGAAGTGGGGAAGATGTCCTTCTGTCTGGCTCTGTTGAAATGAGCCCTCCGTAGAAGAGGGAGTCATCTGCCCTTTAGAGATAATCGTGACCATGTGTCTGTGGCCCATCTGCGGAGGGCATCCAACAAGAAGACAATGAATGAGAAAGTGGAGTTCAGTAAACTGGCAGGCAACATATCCAGGCCGTGGGGTCTAGACCAGTGGTTGTCACAATGCGCCCGTCTACTCAGGTGCCCCAAGGATTATCTGGGGGGGTCTGGGAGTCTGGAGGTAGAGCCAGTTGGGCTGTCCTTGAGGCCTTTCTGGGTAAGGACAACTGAGGTGGAACCGTTGCATCTACATGGAAGAGCCTTGGAGCTCTTGCATTTACCCAGGCATGGCCCTCCCCATGGCAGATGGGCCAAACCCGATCCGCACAGAGGGTGTTGGCATCACGACGTTCCCCATTTCCTTCGGGGCGAGTCTGTTCTGAAGATACGTTGATTGTCGTATTTTCACAGGACCTTTAAGAGCCATAGCACGGCCATGGTGTTTGCTTCCTCAATTTTATATGTCTATGATATCATCCAGAGGGGCGCCTGGGTGGCGCAGTCAGTTGAGCGTCCGACTTCAGCCAGGTCACGATCTCGCGGTCCGGGAGTTCAAGCCCCGCGTCAGGCTCTGGGCTGATGGCTCAGAGCCTGGAGCCTGTTTCCGATTCTGTGTCTCCCTCTCTCTCTGTCCCTCCCCCGTTCATGCTCTGTCTCTCTCTGTCCCAAAAATAAATAAACGTTGAAAAAAAAAATATGATATCATCCAGAGAAATAAATCTAAAATGAAGTTTTGATTTCTCTCTATGCCTCCGTCTGCTTAACACAACCCTTCACCTGTTAGGGAGACTGGCGAGCTTTGCGGTCCTTATCGGTATCTTTCCACTCGCACTTTGCTACGAGAGCTGTAAAGTACGGCGGGATTTTCAGCTTCAAGACTTCTGGAGCCCGCATCATCCACATATATTACAGTCCATCATTTCTTCGCATACAGCAAGCTTCCACAACTGAGATGTGCTCCTCAGAGACCTGCCCACACAGGCACCGGGCTGTTGCCCTCCACAGTGTGCTGTTTCCAGGGGCTTGTCCACAGAGCCCTTCTGGTTTCTGTTGCATGTTAGACGTGACAGACCAGGCTTCTGGGAACTGTAACACACCCAGTGAGCGATGAGCTGTTTACAAATTATAAACACACAGCCGTTTCCTTCCAAACCAGAAGAACAGAGGAAACTCCTTTCTATCCAAACTATCCATCTTGAAAGTGACACTCCTTAATTGCCAGCGCCCCTTCCCACCAAATACCATCACAGGCGACCGTGGAAGATGAAAGCATGTCAGGGCCCCTCGGCAGAGTTTCCTCGGGAGATGGGCACATTCCCGTCTTCTGCCTGTCTCTGGTGCACCGACCAGGACGTGGTCTGGGGTCTGTCATACGTTTATTGTCTGGAGGGGGGATTGTGGTAAAATGACATCACTATAGCCTCTTGTTCCTTCTAGTTGTCAGACGTCCGGGGGCGGGGGGGGTGACCCGTATTAGAAGCCAAATGAGACTGCACGATTTTGTCTCCCTTTGTGTGGGGGGGAGGAGGGGGGGGGGCTTTCAGAAATCACCTAGAACCTTCAGGTGACTAGTTTTTTGGCTTTTAGGAAACTAAAGGTACAGACTAAACTTTGAAGAGAGGAAATCTTTCTCTCTTATTCCTGATGGCCCACGCGAGAAATTGCTTGTTACAAGTATAGTTTGCTGGGGACCCCTGAACAAACAGAGAATGGCTAAGTTCAGCCAACAGCAATCAGCTGACATTTCCGATTTCTATTAGATTCCATATGTGGAATTCTTCTATGTGGACCTTATTTGTACGGATGGATTACAATGAAAATTGCATTAATTTTCTGCACAGTAAAGGTCAGTAATTGAAGCATGAACCAAGAAACTATTGTGTAAAATGCTGTATCCCATACTTAGGAAAGGTCACGCAAAGCAATAATATCTTGTTTTCATTGCGGAAGGTATAAATACTTGCATTAGAGTTTCTTTCTTTTTCCAGCCCAACAAATGCTTACATAGAATATTCAGCAGTTACTATTAACATCGGCAAGAAGAAATCATAAGGGCATGTAACAATAAGAAAACCCAAAAACACAAAAAACAACAACAAAAAAAAACAACCAAAACCCTGTCTGTTGCTATCATAAAGAATCTGTGCTGTGATGTCTGCACTGTGAGTTGGTGTGCTTTTAACTCAGCTGTCAGAAATAGGACTTGAATGATTTGTTCTAGAATTATCGATGAGTGAACAATTGTCTTACAGTGTTTGGCGGGGTGGGGGGGGACGGGACGTCGCCGTTGTGTGTTGTAACGGGTGAAAAACAGATATGGATGTTTTTAAGAAAATAAACATCTGGGGGCACCTGGGTGGCTCAGTCGGTTAAGTGTCTAACTTCAGCTCAGGTCATGATCTCACAGCCCATGAGTTCAAGCCCCACATCGGGCTCTGTGCTGACAAGCTCAGAGCCTGGAGCCTGCTTTTGATTCTGTGTCTCCCTGTCTCCCTCCTGCTCACACTCTGTCTCTGTCTCTCTCAAAAATAAACATTAAAAAACTTTTTTCAAAAAAAATATAACTATAGGGGTGCCTGGGTGGTCAGTCGGTTGAGTGTCCAACTCTTGATTTCGGCTCAGGTCATGATCCCAGGGTCATGGAATTGAGCCCTGCATTGGGCTCCACATGACCATGGAACCAGCTTGGGAGTCTCTCTCCCTCTGCCCCTCTCCCCTGCTCGCTCGCTCTCTCTCTCTCTCTCTCCCTCTCTCTCTAAAATAAAAATAAAATTAAAAAAACTAAAAAGTAAACATCTAATACATTTTTATGGATCCGTTGTGGACCATTTTACCATGTAAGGATGCAAATGAATATGATATCTCTACCCTCTCTTCACAAACTAGGATGTCGTCATTAAAATTTAAGTCCATTTTAAACCATCAGTTTCGGTGTTTAACATGGTTTCCATTCTTCAAACTGATTAGTCCACTCATCCCAGGCAGAGCCTTCTTTTTATTATTATTATTATTTTTTAATGTGTATTTATTTTTGAGAGAGAGAGAGACAGAGTGTGAGCAGGGGAGGGGCAGAGACAGAGGGAGACACAGAATCAGAAGCAGGCTCCAGGCTCCCCGCTGTCAGCACAGAGCCCAATGCGGGGCTCGAACTCAGAAGCTGTGAGGTCATTGTCTGAGCCCAGGTCGGACACTTAACCAACTGAGCCACCCAGGCGCCCCCCAGGCAGAACCTTCTTAAGTAGAGAAGCATGTGGCATACATATTTCACAGGAGTTCTTGCTGGCATTGAACCTGCACAGTCCTTCGGATGAGTGGGCTAGGCCCACTATGCCCCATTCATTATGTTTTCTTATTCTAGACAGAAAAAAAAAGATCTATCTCATCCCAACTATAGTACTTCCTAAAGGGGAGACCGTCATGCTTGGAGGAAGTTTATTTTACAATCTCACAGCGAGAGTAGTTTCACTTGGGATTCCTTTGCGCCTTCTTATGAATGATCCAAACACATTAAATTAGTTTGATTAGTGATTTTTTTTTATCCTAGTGACAGAACAGTGGTACTTTGAAATGATAAAGTATGGCATTTTTAAGAAAACCCAAAGTCAGACAGTATCTTTGAAAGGTTAGCAACAGTTTAATACACACACATACCCACACTTTCAGGGCATATGCGATTTATACGCGGGGCAAATTGCAGAGGACCTGTTTAAGGATGATTTTCAGGGAAATAAAGTCAATGGTTGCTCTAATTTAACTCCTTTTAAT